ACTCAGAGACTACACATCAGTAGAGGCAATAATCACTGACATCAGGATAAGGCCACCTGGGAAGGACCACTGGTGCAAACCAAGTTTAACCAGACCTTTGAGTATTTTAGGAGAAAGACTTGTGAGTGTGCAAAGAAAAAATAAAGAGTCTGGGGAGTGTCACTGATATTCCACCACGTTCATACCCACTGTTGGTCATCACTCATAAGAAATCCACCTCAGCTTCCTCAAACCTCTGCCAGTCAAGTCAGAATAGAAATTATTCTCCTTACCACCATAACGGTGAAGAAAATGCATTAGAAAAAGAACCAAAATTCTCTGCTCCTGAAACAGAAATGCAATTGCAGAGTAGTTGAGCCCCAACATCCTGGCAGGCCAGCCAAGACACAAGGAGCCAGGAGACACAACAATGTACCAGAGAGGAAACTTATTAACTCTGTAGCTTTTGTCAAGAGACAGTAGATAATACAGGTCTGTTAATAAATCCAAAACCAAGAAAGTTAAACTCTTCGCTATGAAAAAAAAGGGATTGGTTAAGCCCCCAAGGATAATCGGTGTAAGACTTTTGTTAATTCTCTATCGCATAAAAGCATCTTTAAAAATATCTCTGTGATTCTGTCTATTCATCTACATATCTATATTTTTATTCCAGAATACCACAACAATACAAATGTGTTAATTTTATTCAAACTAAGCAACCTGAAATTTAATTAGTAATTTGAAGGTCTATTTGATTATTTTTTTAACTTGATGGCAGATGATTCATTGAGATGAAAAATCACACTTCATTGTGCAAAAATAAACTTTCTCAGAAAATACTGCCAAAGATGCAGTATAAATGCTTTTGAAAGATTAAGTACATTATAGAGATTAGAGTGTCATTTTGAAATAGAAAAAGAGGGCAAAAAAAGACAAATTCTTCTAATGTGCCTATGTGCAAAACAATAATCTTCAAGCCATTTTACTCCTGTAGTTTTTTTAAAGATAAAAAAATAAAGATTGGTACTTTAATAAAGGTCAAAATGTTGCATTTAAACTTCATACCATATACCAAAGCAGCATTTTGTTTCCTTCTGTCAGTCTGGATCTGGGTTTAAGGGAGCTACAAACTGGATAACTATGTAGTGTCACAGATTACATAACTTTTCATCAGTAAATACTCAACTTCAGCCTTCTGTTCAGATATTCTGTAAGTACTTAAAACATACAGGATTTGGCTTCAGAATTTGACAGAGCACCACATCCTCTAAGACACCAAGGGCAGTTAAAACATTCATCTGAGGGCAGACCTCTCAGTCTTTACAATTCTATACTTTAAACACTATTAAGCTTTTTTATCTTTTTATCTTTTAAAACCCAAAATGCACAGAAGGACGAAAATAGGAAAAATTACACTATAAAAGAGAAGAAAACTGCCATAGAACAATGCTTTAGAAGACTAGAGAGCTAAGATATAAGCAACCTGCAAAGACTCTAATAAGGTAAAAATTTTAAAGAACACTGTAGCCAACTTTCAAATTCATTCCTGATAAAAGATAATCTGTGATATGGCATCACCTCAAACTTGTTCACATTTCCTTCTCTGGTATGAATATAAAATACTAAGACAATATGTAGAAAACTCTTGAGAGTTTAAAAACCAGTGTTGCAGAAGAAATTCCCAAGAGTTCTTTCCTGTTGCACTATAACCAAAGAAATTCAGGTTGGTTAGGCAGAGGGAAGGGAAGGGAAAGTCCATGTGGCACAAACTCCATTTCACAAGAAGGCAAAAGGCAGGTCTGTGTGTGTGACTTCAGGTGGAAATGTCTGGGCTGATGTGAGAGCCAGAAATCAGACTGCCATGTTTTCAGCTGAAAGCAGAACAGACCAGTTTGGGTAGAAGAGGATTTGAATGCAGCTTCTCTGCTGCTGCTGCAGCATGATTTTGGGTAGAGCCTGTCTCAACATCCCCTCTCAACAGCAGCCACACTTTTGGGAACCTCTGCCAGTTAAGCCTAGAAATTATGAGGGAAAAGGAGCTGCAATTGCTCTCTAAAAATAAATATACTATACTCTGAAGAGCAAAGACATGGAGAAGGAGGCTTTCTATTTCAGATCAGCAGAGGCACAAAAGAAACAAACAAACAAACAAAAAAAAACTGTCTGAAAAAAAATTTAAGACAGAAATTTTACTTCTAAAATCATGAAAAGTGAGTCTGCCCCACCTTCAAGAGGTGCAGTGAGAGTGATACCCCAATTAAATTTAAACCAGAGCTTTTTGAATCTGAACAAAATATCAGCCTAATATCACAGCAAACAGACTTCATGACTCCATAGACCACTCTAGTTCTATCTCCCATGTTGAAAAACATAAGAAGGTAATCTTTTGCCAGTTCAGGCCACTACAGCAGCTAAAATCATGTATTCATGAGTCAGCACACTCAATGCTACAGAGTTTCTCATTTCTGATCACCTGTTCTTTTTCATTTGCAAGTAAATGCTTTTAATAATAGTTAGTCATGGAGGAAGAAAAGAAAAACTGCTTTCCAAAGATTTCAGTTTACACCCTTTATAAAAGTATCTTAAATCTCTATGCTGTCCTGAATACCAAAACAGATGTAAAGAAAAAAGATGTCATTTCCATCTGGACACTCATTTCAGGAGTTTCAGGAGCTAGGGCAGTATGACTATATCCCATACTATATAAGGAATATAATGATATCATCACTTGTAGAAAAAAAGCTACAATTTGTAGGCAAAATTTTTATTAATCTCAAAAGCAGAAAAGGACAATTGTCTTTGACACTAACTATGGCTTTCTAAAACATGCTTTCAACATTAGTCATAGCATAACTATAGAAGCACCAAGCAGAAACCAATTCCACAACCCAAATCCTATTCTGCCCACATACTGCACAGAGGTAGAAGGATCCTCTTTCAAAATTGACTCCTTTATTCCTATTTTAAGGTCCCAAGGCTGTTTGATATATACGAACTCCTACAACCTCAGACTGCTGCAAATGAGATGTATGTATATTAATTACCATACTACTCAGACAACAGGTGCTCTGTGGATGAAATCAGGGCACTAAATAGAAAGTTTTAAGAATGCACTTTCTCAGACTCCAAGAAAAGACTAGGTGAGCAGGATTGGCTCTTTACTCAGCAACTATCTGTACAAAATTACTCACACAACACACCTGCAATATTAAAAGAAAGGACAAAAGGATCATTCTGGAAACTGCTAGTCTAGTTACTTTATTTCAGTGCTTTAGCATTATCAAAATATTTTGCTTACTAGAAGTTGCACATAATTTAAAGAAAACACTTCATTTAAATATAAGGAGGGATGGAAATAAATAGAGGGGTGGAGAATAAAGTTTCAATCTCTCTTGTTTTTAATAGCTTGCTTTTTAATTAAATAATGAAAAAATAAGCAGGCTGAGTCTTCTTAAAATATGGAGTAATGACCCAACAGATCGTAACTATTTTAGAAGTCATCATGATCTATCATAGAAATATCTCAGCTAGTTCTTAGACACATGAATTATTGACCCTGTTATGCTGCCAAAAGTATTTTAACATGTCAGAGCAGAAGTCATGCATAAATATGTGTAAAATATTTTTATTACAGTAAAGCTGGTAAAAGTCAGTGTAAATACATAACATTTATGTTTCTACAAAGATAAATGAATTTATTTACTTTTCAACATGACTAATTGCACGATGTATAAAGTTCTTACACTTTCTATTTTAAAGGAAGCTGATACATTGTAAGAATTTAAACATAAGCATTAGAAGCCTCAAATTTCCAAATCCATTTCTAATTCTGTGAATTATATTTGCTTAGATGACATTGACAAAAGTAATATATCCCCTGTAGCTTACTTTAGTTTCCACATCTGAATACATAGCGTATCTTTAGTCAGTTATAGATCCTTAAATGTTCTTGTTATAAAATACAGTAAGTAATCCCATCACAATAAAGCAAACAGAGAACATCAAAGAACATTCAGCACTTGAACTTTAGCATAATATTACACCATATTTCTTTCTGGAAGGAAAAAAACAAAAAACAACCATAAAAAACCAAACCCCAAACCAACCCACCCTGTCATCTGGAAAAATCTTTCCAAATTATGTTTTACAGAGCCAATATCCTGTCTGTACATCAGGGGCAGCCTCTGTTAAGCATTTAAGTGCTCTCAGTGAAAAGTAACAGTTTCTCCTCCAATCCTGAACTCTCAGAAACCATCACTGAAAGTAACAGTTTCCCATTCCCTGTCAGCTACTGGCACTATTAATCATCAAAAAAAACCGAAACACCTTCAAGCAAATATCAGCTTCTGATTAGTCTCCATCCCAATGAATTAGAGTCATAAGAGGCAACCTGCTGCCTTGTTTACGCCTTTTTAATATGAGGAGCAGAAGTTGGCTATAAGGGCTTCTACCCTTAGGGCTACAAAATATGCCTCATGTGGCAGCGAGCCAGCTCTCCGAGGGAGCCTCCTTTGCTGTTTCACAGCTATTTTCTAATGGATAAATTTAAACAGACACACACAAACACACGAGTCACCACAATACAGGGCCAGAGCTATTGTTTTTGTCTAAACTCCTGTGAGCACCTGTACTCGTAATGAGAACCTCAAGGTCCCATCCAGTTTCGGTTTGGGTTTTACTTTTGGTTGTTTTGTTTATTTGGGTTTTTTAAACACAAGGAGGAGAGGAGGGGTGTCTGGGTTTTTTGTTGTTTTGTTTTGTTTTTTTTTTCCTCAGCTGCCTTCCCCTCTCTACAGCACAGCACATAAAACACCTCTCTTCAGCTTTAGCCAACCTAGGCTCAATTAGTGCAACATTTTGCACACATCCAAGCAATCACAAGGCAGAGATATTTAGTCCAGTGCTCATGTATTGCACAGACACCTTTGGAAAGGGGTGGAAGGAGATTTCTTAAAAAAAAAAATCATAATCTCACAATGTAATTTACACAGTGTGGAAACGCCTACAAGGAGATGAAGTACCTGCACTGGGGAGATGTTCAGTTGTTCACTTCATCTTCCGTTGACAAGGAAACCAAACCGCACTTCATTCTCCAGGAAAACCTTCCACTGCCATCATTTGAAAATGTATTTATTTGTATATATGTATATATCTATCATTATCATCATGATAACAATAACCATCATAAAACACTGCTGGCAAAAGAATAAAAAGTGAAGGTGCAAAATGTGCAAAAGTAAGGATCATCTCTTTGGCTTTCTGTTTTGCTTTGTTATCTTTAGGGAGGAAAAAAAGTATTTAAAAATGATGACTGCAACATGCTGCAAGAAAAGTTTGACATTATAAACAGGCATCAAAAACTGAAGAAGAAGAAAAACAAAAACCCCTGCTGGTTGTACAGTTAAAAAAAAAAAAAAAGGAAAAAAAAAAAAAAAAAGGAATAGCAACAAAAATAATAAAATTAACATCTTGCTCTGTGGCTTCCACCAGTATTGCAAGATTACAAACTCTGTGTAAACACTGCTGTAAAATGCATTTGCAATTCCCATCTCTTTACGGAAAAAAAAAAAAAAAAAAAAAAAAAAAAGCCCTTAAAAAAACACCCAAAAATAAAAATAAAACAACACCAGAAAAAATCCTCTGCAAAAAGAGTTAGAAACATGCCTTTTCTCTTATCTTTAAAAAATAAGCATCATATTTCACATCGCTTTTCTGTGCCACAACAAAACCAGTTGCATATATAGATATATAGCTACTAAATGTATATCAGTTGTTGCTGGACTGGCAAGTCTGTGTTATTAATATTATCATTTTTCATTCCCAGTGACTCCCGGCCCCAGCAGCACCTTTTGCTCACAGTTTAGTAACCATCGCATGCTAGGAAAAAAACTTGTCATCAGCAAAAGATCAAATCCATTTAAACAATAATCAAAGAGGAAGAAAAAAAAAAGAAGAAAAAAAAAA